AAACTATAAGATAAATATTGATGATTATGTAGTATTATTATCATGCATAAATAAGTCTGATCTAGTTTAGAGAGTTTATTTCATTTTAATTATAACTATTATTTTGAATCATATAAATATGGGTCTTGACTCTCAATAAAATATACACTTAAGTTTTGACTTATTTATTTGTTCTTTTTTTCTCTCTAATTTATAGCACGTATTTTTATTCTTCTAAAAAATAATATTTTCGCGTATCTCTCGTACTATTTTGTTATGTGTTCATTTGGTCAGATCGAAAGTGACACATTTTTGGCTGACCTCATAAGTTGCAAAGTGCTTATGATCACTTTATTTGAAAAGGATATATTTCGGCCATAAAATTCTATCTTTTGGTGAATGCGTGCGAATTTGAAGTAGCAAATAAACAATTGTTTTAATAAATCCCATTTTGCTTGCGTGTTCGGCAAGGAGACGTGTGGGGTACTCTTTGGACTGAGATGTGGCAAGCAAGTAAATTGACCGGGTAATTGATTGTGAACAATTAAAATATAAGATGTGCCAAGCAAGTAAATTGCAAGTAAATTGACTGGGTAATTGATTGTGAACAATTAAAATATAAGATGTGGCAAGCAAGTAAATTGCAAGTAAATTGACTGGGTAATTGATTGTGAACAATTAAAATATAAGATGTGGCAAGCAAGTAAATTGATTGGGGGAATATGCTACTTGTACATAATGCGATGTCTATAATGATGTTCACCTTCTCACATGAAGAGGGATCCACTTTGAATATAGCCCATGTTTGACACTCATTTTGTTTGAAAAATAATTTTTGGAATAATGATTGACGGAAGATTGTGTGGTTAAAAAGTAAGGAGAATTTTTGAGTTTATGTGTAATATGATTTTATTAATAGAATGTGTGGTTGAAATGAAAAATGAGAAATAAAATGAGAAATAAAATGAGAAAAAAATTGGTGTCAAACATGGACATATTATATTTTATTTGAAGTGGGTTCCCCTCCATGTGATGGGGTGGACACCATTATGGATACATTATATACGTGTAACATCACCCGTTGACTGGTTAATTGATTGTGACTCCACTAAACGTAGGACTAGCCCTATTTGATAACAATTAAAATTTATATTTTAATTACATATTTTATTAGATTTATAGTTTTTCAAAGATATATTTCATTAATTTTTATCAGGAATTAAAAAATTATTACTGAAACTTCAAAGAATGAATGATAGTATATTAGTGAATTGGTTGCGTAGTTGATTGTGACTCCATGCGTTTCATAGCTGCGAGGGTGGTTCGGTGCAGGGGGGAGTCAGCCCATCGAACTAAGGGGGGTCTCGGAATTGAAGGGATGGGGCCCACGGGGGCTGCCCCCAAAATTCTTTTTTGAAACATTATGTGTTAAAA